ATCCTGACACGGCGTACGAGGGATAGTCCCATACACCGATCATTGATATCAAAATTTGATAAATTAATCCCAAAAACACAAGGGGAAGAGTGCAATGCAATCAAGGTAAAACCTCCCAAGTCGTATCCGCATGTGCAGTCTGGAGCTGTGGCGACTGCATCTCCTGTTGTTAGTAGCTAGGATCAAACCACATAAACATTAACAGTATGAATGTGGATTCCAATAATTAGGTATATAAATTTTAGGCCGTCCAATCCAAAGCGAAAATCCCAAGAAGTTTGAGTAGCTGTTTTTCCGACCCTTGCTTTAGGAACAATCAAAAGAGCCCTTAATAAATGCCATTTTTATTGTCTCGGGATCGTTTGCTGCCTTTAAATACTTCATTCCAACTAATTAACTAGGGTTAGTCCCAAGTGTATGTGCAGCGCGTGTTGATCATATTACATATAACCGCAAATGAACCCTCAGCTGCATGCCACAGTTAATCTACATGCATTAATTTCTAGATATCTACCACTGACGTATGGTCACCTTTTGCCTTTTTCAAGGGAAAATTTGATTGATTGCTTATGAACATAACATCCTTAAATTGAAATATGAATGTTACATGTCGAAATCCCAATAAAAGAATGAATGCATTTTCAGCTTTGAAGATTGACTAATATAGAATACAGCATTGGAAGAGATGTACAAGTATTGGGAGCTAGGGTGCAACCACGCTCCCTCAAGGCATGTAGAGGAAGCAAGGCCTTGAGGTTAAAACCATATTTTTAAAAGAAAAAATATATACTAGTCATAGTCTCATTACCAAGGCTTGCTTTTTACGCGAGCTTTAACCCTTCCCGACGGCGTAGTCACCGGCCGTCAACTATCTCACGCCATTCCCTTTACACCCCCCCGTTGACATACCTCTTTCCATATTTATATATTCCCCTTGTTGAAAATGATTGCTTTCAATACCTCCCTGCATATATATACACACACATGAAACATCTTCCTAGTTGATTCCATTAATAATATAGGCAGTGATGGGTTCATCGAATGGCGGAGTGCCTCCAGGTTTCCGGTTCCATCCAACGGACGAGGAGCTCCTCCACTACTACTTGAAGAAGAAGGTTTCATTTCAGAAGTTTGACATGGAGGTCATCAGAGAAGTGGACTTGAACAAGATGGAACCTTGGGAGTTGCAAGGTAAAGTTCTTTAACACTGCCTAATGATCACCAAAGCAAATTGCGGTAGCCTACGTCTGATTGCCTGCAAATTTGTCTTCTTCCATTACCTTACTGCTCTCAGTTTTAATTCTGGCTAGTAGGAAATTTTCAACACTTTAATGCATGACTAATAAGCATTCACCACAAGTTGGCATCTCTAAATTCTTTCGTCATATAAACCCTAAACCCTTTATTAGCTAAAACAATTATTTGTTGTCAACAATTTCTTCTTAATTGTCTTGATATATATGAAAAAGTACCAAAAATGCAGTAAATATATGAAATTTCTGAAAAAAAAAAAAATACTGTGAGTCTTAGTCTATGGAAGTGTGTTTGGGTTGGATTGTCCTTTGAGTTAATTTCGAAGTCAGATCCAATGGGTTTAGATAATTTTAGATTCGAGTCTTATTAGTTTCGAATGCTTTGAAGTTTGAAATTTTTTGGAATTTAGATGGTCTAAAAATTGAGTAAGTTTGGACAAATTTCCAATTATTTGGAATTTATATTGGTCATAGACATTTTTAGTAATTTTATATGTAATAAATAATTACATTTTTTTCATAATAGATGTCAAATCAATATTATTAATTAATTTAACAAATTTAAGATAAAATGTAAAATGTTAGAAATTAAGAAAAGTGATTCATATTTGTATAAATATAAGTGATATATACTATATATAATTCTATCCATACAATACACTAACTATTAAAATTTGTTTGTGATTTCTATTTTCATCTTTTTAGACGTTATGACATCCTAACATTATTCTAATTTTAACATTTAACTATTTTCGCATTTTTGACATTAATGGAGGATAAAAAGTAAAAACGCATTGGCTTGATGAATATCATAATAAATTTAATTAATCAATTAATTTGCATAACGTTAGTTAAACTTCAATATTCAACATTGAAAAAAAAATTAGAAATAATTTATTTATATAATTGTATAATAATTATACATAAATATTATTTTTTAATTTAAGGAACAAAATGTGTATTATTTATCCATTTACTCATTTTAGAAAACCTTATGTAATTACAATTTAAGTTTTTACGGATTTCCTTCGAATCAATCTTGAGTTTTGATTTGTTTAGGATTGCCTCGAGGTACGGGTTCTATTAGTTTCAAGTCTTTGACTTTCTACAATCAATTTGTATCGGACCAACTTGTTTCAAGTAGATTTTTGGTTCAGTTAAATTTTAGCGTCTTAACAACTAATAATTTATAAATTAGCTGTAAAAGTATAAATTAGAAAAGATTTAATTATTGAAAATCTCTTATACAAAAGATATTATTTTCCTCTTTTAATTATGATTTAGATAATCATTTGTTTTATATGTTTGTGTTCTTATAACATTTGGCTTGGCAGCTAGCTAGATAATTTTTGGGGGTTTGGATAAGTAGAAAACATATTGGAAATACTTGACTGTTGACCTCTTAATTGATCCGTCTGGTACACGGGGTTGAGAGATAGAATATGGTCTGAGTCAGGCAGTGTATATCCCTTCCGGATTTGGTGAATCAACATTTAATAATGCAATGATCTAAACAAGACTGCACGACTTTAATTAAAAGCATATGAATTGGATGGAAGGGGAAGGTGGTGTTGCTTGCTTCAGCTTATAACTCTTTGAGTGTTACAGAGAGATGTAGGATTGGATCAACTCCGCAGAACGAGTGGTACTTTTTCAGTCACAAGGACAGGAAGTATCCAACGGGGTCAAGGACGAATAGGGCAACCAATGCAGGGTTTTGGAAAGCAACGGGAAGGGACAAGTGCATTAGGAACACCTACAGGAAGATCGGTATGAGGAAAACCCTTGTTTTCTACAGGGGAAGAGCTCCCCATGGCCAAAAGACTGACTGGATCATGCATGAATACAGACTCGAAGACGGAGACGATCCCCAAGGAAACACCTCTGTTAGTATACAAATTAATATTGTATTAATTCAGTAATTAATTAATTAAGAAGAAGATAGTGTTTTAGATGATTATACTAACATGAATTTGCATGCATGCAATGTGTAGGAGGATGGGTGGGTGGTGTGTAGGGTGTTCAAGAAGAAGAATCTATTCAAGGTTGGGAGCAATGGAGGGGGGTCAAGCATTAACTCATCAGATCAACAACTCAACACTTCAAGCAGCAGCCAGCCTCGCTCTCTCATGCACAGATCAAGCGACCAATACCTAGTGCGTCACCAACACCACAACTTTGAGTTAAACAAGGCTGAGCTAGCCCTTCACTATTCTCACATGCAAACCCCTCAATATTCTCTTTTCCAACCCCAAACCCTTGTTCAACCCCACAAGCCTATCAACTATGAGTTTGCGGCAGCGCCGGCTGCTCTCCCTCCGAACCCTCCCGTAATGATTAAGCAACTCATGTCTAGGGATTGTGAGAGTGGCAGTGAAAGTCTTAGGTACCAAGCTTGTGAGCCAGGTCTAGAGGTTGGGACGTGTGAACCAAGTCAACCAATGGGCGTTCCTGGAAGAGATGAGGGGATGAATGAATGGAGTATGCTTGATCGGCTGGTGAGTGCATCTCATATGGGACATGAAGATTCTTCCAAAGGGGTTAGGTTTGAGGAGACAAATGCAACAGCAGTGCACCCAATGAACCAGCTTTCATTGCGAGGAGAGATGGATTTTTGGGGCTATGGGAAATAGTTTGTGATTTTTGTGGTATTACAGAGCTAAATTGGCTCTCATCATATGTTCATTTCAAGGAGAAAAAACAAAAACAAAAGAACTACTTTGATAGTGATATGACTGATTTTTTATGGAATTTGTGATATTATTAAACATTTGTACTTTATGTGGAGTCTTATTAATGATTAATTACTGGCTTTTGTAAATGTAATACCCCTGCCTTTATATTTTACACTATAAATTTGTTGTTTGATCACTTGAAAAAATTCCACATTGAAGAATTAAGTGTTCAATTTTTATATTTCATAATATAAGTTTTCAATTTGTATTATAAAATTGTTTAGTATGTTAGTTAAAAAAAAAATAAATACTGCTAATATTTTGGTAAAAAGATATGTGATTTTATAGAAATTTTATTCCTAACAAGGCTTAAATTTTAATAGAAATTTAACAACCTAAAAATGTTTAAAAAAGACATTTAAGCAGTAGTATATAAAAATAAACATATATGTGAAATGAAATCATATAAAAGAAGTATACATGTAAGCACCAAATTTTACATATTGAATTTTGTATAATTAAGGAATAATTTGGATTGAAAAAATAAAAATAAGAGAGTAAAATACATTGTCACCCTTAAGTTTTAACCATAATTTCATGTGAGTCCATTAGTATTTGAAATGAACAATTCTCTCCAAATATTTAAACTGCGTTAATAGACAAACGTGAAATGTTTAAAATACTTTTCTGCTTTCTCTGCTCTTTTTCATTATTTTCCTTTCTCTCAGATCAGTCGACGGTTCTCCCTTACATCAACCAATCACCCAACAACCGAATCTGATCACGCACCCTAGATCTCACGCTCCCTTGAGGAGCACCAAATCGGCACTCCCTTGAGGGAGCAATCTGTCAACAATTTTGTCAATAATACAAACAATGCATGTTTTTTTTTTTAGAAATTAAATTTATCCTATTTGTAATAAAATTATAATATGATGCTATTATTGATAAAGTAAATATATAAGAAACAAATATGCATATAGAAACTATTGAAAATCTAAAGAAATCATTATTAATAAAAAATATTCTTATGTAAACATCTAATAATAATCCAAATATTCCGTCAATAAATCTCATTGAAGGGGTGAGGGTGGCTATTGCTATGCTAGAGGCTACAAAGGCTCGACCACGTCTTGCTAAGGTTGGGATCTCATCGATCCAATTACATCCTTCAACAAAACCTTAATATTGGTGAAACCTGCCATCAAGGCTTTCACATCACTAAGCAATTGTCGATTATCCCTCAAGCTCAAGCGTAAAAGTCGACGTAAGAGGTGGTGCATTGTTAGGGCTATAAGTAGACTCATACATCACCATTACAGCTAGAAGTCTCAAAATGGGGACTCAGGTGCCAAATCTGTATATGTGGGTTTGAGTACTTGTTTACCCTCCAATGGCCTTAATCCATGACTCTAGATCAAACTCTAGATAGTTCGATAACTCCACATCATATTTCTTCACTATTGCCGAAGCGTATGATTCCTACAAATAGAAAAACACGTAAAATTATTAAGTTATTTAATCGAAAAGCAACATATATATGTCAAATATATATAAACATACATATTACTTACACAAATAGTCTTAGACTTTTTGTCCATAAATTCTCTAGTACACTTCTGCCCCTTGTGAGTATATTTAAAGAGCTCGGAGAATGTAACTTGTGACTTCTTTTTTTTTCCTGTAAGCATAAAGAGAGAAAAAAAATACACATCATTAAAAGTATTGCAATCGTTAATTAACATACAAAATTGTATTATTAAATTAAATGACTTATGTAATATATATATTCATAAAAGCGTATACCATCCTCTTTTATTGAAGGGTAAAAGGCAAGGAACCAACGATATGTTTCGCCACGCTATTGTCCTTTTCTGTAAGGTAGTTCTACTTTGCCTTGCGTGAGCATGATTGCCACTTGGGTATTGACCATACCAGATCAACAAGCTAGTCCTATACCTCAGTAGTGTTTCACAATCATGCCTTACCCTTTATCAATTCAAGATCTAAATCGGGGCCACCCATTTCTCTCTTCACCTGATCAGACTAATTAGCTAATAGGTCTTTAAGGCGATCCTTGCAAATCTTCTCCCATATGGACTTCACCTCTGTTGTATTTATAGTAGCCCATGTAAAAGATTCCTACATAAAAAAAATATTTTAATACAAAAAATTATGATAGATTATAATAGTATATACTATATCTTTACATTACCTCGAATTTTCGCCACATGTTAATTTTATGCTCTGGAAGAACCTGCCTCAATGTCGACCAAGGCCCATCGAAGTTACTCTTGATAATCCTCATAATTGTAGGAGTAACGCAATTTCATCAAAAGCATTAGAAAAAAGACTTATTGGTTAATAAAACGCATTACGTAATTAACTAAATATTGAGTGCATATAATTAATGATATAAATTTGAGTAGAGAAAATTATCTCTCTCTTAGAGGATGTAGTAATTAACACAATCTTTACCATCTCAACCAACCTACTTTTTTGTAAACTAATAAATGTAGGAATTGAACTCATAGGAGGATGGGAAACAATCCAAATCTTTGTCAATTTTGCTAACTTAAACATGTGTTTAATAGATTCGAACAATTAATGGATAGTTCTTTACTAGTAGAATTCGATTTTTTGGATAGTGTATCGCAAATTTATGTGGGTTGTAATAAGGTTTAGATATCTTGATAGGTAAAAGGTTTTGGGTTAAACACTTCATAAATAACAGGTACCTTACTCATCTACATATTTAGTCAAACATGCCGATGTGATGGCCTAGTATTATTAAGTTGAAGATAAAGAAGATTATACTATTTCTAGAAAAGAAAAGTAAGAAAATGATGACGCTATCACACACATACAATGGAGCATAGAACGTTTTAGTTTTAACTTGCTTATACTATATAAATAAAGTTTTTCCTCCTTTCTTTCAATTTGTTTTAGCTGTAGCCATAGATTTACACAGACATACCACCATGGGAGGAGTGAATCTCTTCGTCTCTCTTTCACACATTTTGTTTTTCATTTTGATTGTTTTGTATTTGAATAAATAACTAGAATTGAATGATTATTCTGCTTTCTTAAGAAATGATTGTTTCTTTTTAGTTTTTATTTGCTTGCGTATAAAACATTGTCGCTTATGTTTTCCTCTTTTCCTTCTTTTTGTTTCTTAAAACAATGAATAATGGTCGTTTATCTCTCTATTTAGTTTGTTGTAGATTTGATTGGATGTGACAAAATAATGCGACTTTAAGGATTTTGTATATTTAAATTAAAATTTTATGGTCAACAGCCTCGAAATCAAACAATCATCCACGAAAGTGGGAAAACTCAATCAAAATGGGATACACGAAGTTGCTCAAGGTCTGGTCTTCGTTTTGAGTAGAGTTGTCAACAGGTAGAATACTTGTAAATTTCGAAGTATTCAAATCCTAATCCTATAAAAAATCAAATACCTAAACTTATTAATTAACAGAATAATTTTAAAAATTACAAGCCTAACCCTAACCCTAATATATTTTCACTATTCTATAATTACCCTAACTTATTTAAAAACCCGATTAGATAAAAAAATTATCAAAATGTTGTTCATGGTACCCAATTACCCGAACCCGTATCTATATACAATAATATTTCTCTTACATTTTTCATATAATTAACTACTAGTTAAATTATTAAAAACACAAATGATAATATTTAAATTTAAATAATCAAAACAAATATTTTAAACATAAACTTAAATAACTAAAAACAAATATCCATATAACAACATAAACTTAAATAACTAAACACAAATATCCAAATAATAACATAAACTTAAATAACTAAACACAAAGATCCAAACAAACAACATAAACTTAAATAACTAAACACAAATATCCAAATAACAACTTAAACTTAAATAATTAAAAACAAATATCCAAACAACAACTTAAACAACATTAGAAATTTACAATAAGGCAAACTCATGAAAAATTCAATCTTCTTATTCCATGTCAGTGTCAACAAGCATGGCAATTGAATCTTCAATTGTTATGCATTATTATGCCTAAATAAAAAAAATAAAAATGTATATAACACTTAAGATAATAGATAATTTTTCATACAAAACAAATGAAATAAAAGTATTATGAGTTTATTTACCTTTCAATTCATTCCCCAACCAATTTTGAGTGCACATCAATGCCTCCAAAGTGTATGGTTTCAGCCTACTTCAATGGTCAATCACCACTCTCCAACTAGTGCTAAAGCCTGACTCTAATGCAACTGTAGAAATAATAATAGCAAGAAAGTCCCTGGCAATCATTTGTAAAGTGGGATACTTTATCCCATTTGTCTTCCACCAACTCAAAATGTTAAAAAAATATTAGTGAATGGAAAAACTTTGTCTTTTAAATAATAATCCAATTTTGACTTTACATGCCCATCAGTAGAAGAATTAAGATATTCATACAACATACATTCATCTGGTTCAGATGATTCATCAAATATTGCTGCTAATGAACTCTGAGAAGACTATGATTCTAAATTGGTGGATTTACTCTGGTATTCTTGAAGTAAATCATAACAAGTTTTCCTAACTTCTTCGATCTTATAAGTTGCAACACTATCATAAATTTTAGGAAAAAAATACTCAACTACCTTCATTTTATATCTAGGATCCAATATAATCGCCACAATTAACGCAATATGAATATCCTTCCAATATTTTTTAAACTTCTCAAGCATTTTTTTTGCCATTGCACTAATTGTCACATCATTAAAGCACATCCAATTCACAATTGCAATTTGAAGTTTACAAACTTTGGCAAAAATATAATTTGCAATAGGATACTCTATCCCAAAAACTAATTTAGTGAGATCATAAAACATTTTCAACTTGTCAGCAATATTTTTGCTCTCTCCTAATCTTCCTCTCTAGGTATACAAGAGTAAATTTTTTCTCTAAGTTTCAACTCAAGGAAAATATCTTTGTATCCTATAGCAGTCCGAAGTATCACATAAGTTGAATTCCAACTAGTTCTACAATCTAGACTCAACTTTTTAGAATATGGCACTTTAGCTTGACGAGCCACTTCTTCAAAATTTTTCAATTTAGATGGACTAGCTGACTAATGTACTACACTATCACAAACATTTTCAATAACATCTTCAATCACATATAATCTATCTCTCACAACAAGATTCAATATATCTACACAACATTTCATGTGAAGAATTCTTCCATTAAGCAAAAGTTCAGAACCCAAGTTATGCACTAAGATAAAAATCATACCATCATTGGAGCTACAATTATCCATAGTGATAGTAGAAAATTTTCTCTCTATATATAGTTAAAGCATTCATCATTCCTTGAGCAAGAACATCCATGGTGTGAGGTGCTGGCATGTATACAAATTTACATGTTTACAAAATAATATTAATGAATTTGCTTTTTTTTTTCATAAAACCATTAATGTATAACATAACAAAATTTAAAGAAAAAGAATTAAAATTGCTTACCTCAAGGTATAGCTTTGTAACTCCCAAGAGTCATCAATATAATGAGTAGTGACAGACATGTAACCTTTCCTTTAATTTAAAGTTCACATATCTGTTGTGATTGCCATTCGACTTTTTAACTTCTCAAACCCCTATTGTATCTTGGATTTTTTTGAGCAATAAATCTTGTGAATGCCCTCTTTAATTGTGTTGTAAAAAACTATCTTAAATATGGGTTGAAGACTAGCAAAAAGCTTCTTAAAACCAACATAAGAAACAATAGAAAGCATATACTCATGCAAGACTATAACACAAGCCAACTCATGTCTGAAAATGTCTTGATCAAGTGTGTAATTTTTAATCTAAACCTTCCCATTAGCTTGCGTATCTATGCCAAGTTGCTTTTGCTTTTTAAAGCATTGTTCAATGCTTGAATTTTTTTCTCCTTGCACAAGTACTCATGTGATTTTTTAAAGCTTTTGTTCCATTCTTGCTATTGATCTTAAGAACAACTTTACAATAATTACAAATTGCCACATTTTCCCCATTGAGATTTTTTTTTCCAAAATGATTCCAAACCTCTGAAGTTAATTTGCAAGGGTGTTTGGTACTTAAACTACATAATCGAGGTTTATTTATAGTAGGCAAGATCAAATATTGATTACTACTAACAGGAGTGCTAGAAGGCTTAAAGGTACTTGTTGTGAACTTGACCCTACATATGCTAATGATTGAGAGAGTGTTTTTATACAATTACAAATTAATACTATCATCACAATTTTCAACTGGAGCCATTTTTCAAAAAACCTAGAAATATAAAACATGGCAGAATCAATGTCTAAATCAATTTTAAAAAATAAGTACAATTCAATAACTCATGAACATACATAATTTCTAAGCTTCTTGCAAAATGGTTTATTTACCACAATAAGATAATCCACAAATTTTGGAGCACCAAATTCTCACAAAGAAGTTCCTAAAGATCTGAACATAAAACACTTTTCTATATTCTGAAAATTTGTAAGTTAATGAGCAAAATACGAACACAACTTTTTTTTTTTTGCTTGGGTGAGACGATTAACAAGACATCTGAAATCTGCCGAAAAACTAAAGCATTAGAATACATCACTAAATCTAATTACATATATTAAGGATATGTTAATATAACATAAACTTAAAAATTAAGAAGAGCAAAGAGAATTTGTAAAGCATACCACTTAATTATAGAGTTTTCATCATTGTTGTCCATTCCAGGCCCAGTGTCAAAAATTGAGTTTGCATTCTCAAACTTCAAAAATATTAAAATGGCCATCTAAATGAAGTGTATGATGTAAACATTTTATGATGTAGAAATAACTAAAAAAGGAAAGTTGAATTAGTTATATGCAGAAAAAGCAACACATGCATGCACATTATACACGAACAGATAAAGAAGAGGTAGAAAATGCCTTTATATGATAATTGTGATGGTGGAATACAATAGATTTCACACACACACTATTAGGAAGATAAATTTCAATGTTTGACCAAGATAGATTTCAAACAAATTTTGAACCACAACATATATTAACAAAATTGTTTGGAACTAGCAAAAAATATAAATCTTCAACTTTTTTAGTGTTAATAAATAACACTTCTAAAGCTATGTAATTGGCCATGATCATTAATCTTAGTCAGTAACATATATAATCAAATTTTAATTCATTTTCACTACACCATCAATTTACTATTTGAACTTAGATTATATTTCATTATAGAATAAATGCCAACCAAAAAAATAAAAAGAACTAACTTTTGAAATTAAATAAATAGGACCACGTCTTTCAAAATGGGAGATGTTGTAAGTCGATAAATTTGGGAGTTTCTATATCTTGAGGAACCTGAATGTTAACCTTGTACTTTAAATTCATGCACTAATCTAAATTCTTTGAAAAAAAACAAACACATAAAAACCTAGTAAGCATTCAAACATAGTCCAAGTATGCTAATGAAATATTTTTACCTTGATAAAAAAGCCAAATAAAACAAAGATAAGATTTAGTGATTTACCTGAATGGAGGACCAACAATGGAGCAGCAAGAATGGAGGATTGGTGTGGCTAGCTAGGGGAAGGAAAGAAGAAAAATGAATAAAAGAAGAATTGCCATTTAGCAACGAAAAAGAAATAAAGAAAAGAATAAGGAGTAGCTGGCTAGGGGAAGAAAAGAAAGAAGGAGGAGCATCTGCCGACTATGTGGCTAGGTAAAGAGAAGAAAGAAAGAAAACAAAAGAGTGACTAGGGTTTTTACCCTTAATATATTATTATTAAATTATAAAAATCAATACTATTATTATTTTTTAATAATAAAAATTAATATTATTTTATGATTTAGTAATTATTAACTTATATAATAGTAATTTTCTTTATAAATGAACATAATATATAATATAAAGTGTATGTTATTAAAAGACATTACAAGTTATATACTATACAGTGTGTGCGTAGATATATATTATAATTAATAATTTTATAAGTTATAATTTTTATAATGTTAACGTAAAATAAAAAGTAAATATATTTATAATTAAAGTATATATATATTAAAAGTATTTTAGTATATATATAACCATAATTATATTTTTTATAAATGAACCCAATATATATAACATATAGATATTAACAAACATTACAAATTAATTAATAATCATAGTTTTATTAATTACTTTAATTAATTATATGGGTTTCTCCTTAATTTTATGAAATTAAAAAAAATAACTAAGCTTCAAAACTATTCTAATTTCTTAACTTCTTTTTAGATAATTAAGTTTATATAAACAAAGGTATATATATTATAATTAATAATTGTATAAGTTATAATTTTTGTAATGTTAACACAAAATAAAATATAAATATATTTATATTTAAAGTACACACACACATTAAAAGTATTTTAGTATATGTATAATAGTAATTATATTCTTTATAAATGAACCCAATATATATAAAGTAAATATATTAAAAGACATTACAAGGTAATTAATAATTATACTTTCATGAATTTATTTAATTAATTATTTGAGTTTGTCTTTAATTACAAGAAATTAAAAAAAAATAACTAGGTTTAGAAATTATTTTAATCTCACAACTTCTCTTAAGGTTTTTATATTATAGGTTTATATAAACAAAGGTGTATATGTTATAATTAATAATTTTATAAGTTATAATTTTTTAAATGTCAACATAAAAAAGAAAGTAAATATATTTATATTTAAAGTATATATATTCTAAAAGTATTACTATATATATAATATAGTAATTGTATGTCTTATAAACGAACCCAACATATATAATGTATATATTAAAAAACATGCCAAGGTAATTAATAATCATAGTTTCATGAATTAATTTAATTAATTATATGGGTTTGTTTTTCATTACATGAAATTAAAAAAAAATATCTAGATTTCGAAACTATTCTAATATCAAAGACTTTCTTTATATATATTAGAAGCTATAATTTTTATAATGTTAACACAAAATAAAAAGTAAATATATTTATATTAAAAGTATATATATAATAGTAATTATATTCCTTTGTAATATGATATGATATTGATATTATTTAAACATAATTAATAATCTAATAATTTTTATTTAAATATATCAATGTCATCATATTAATTTGAGTAACCATACTTTTTAATATATTTGTTAACTTTTAATAAAATAAATTTTTTGTAAAGATGGTAAAGGTTTTGATTGTTTTTCCTATTTACATGGGTCGAATCTAAACATCAGCAAAAGTGGATTTTTTTTATTTAATTATTTAAATAACAATAAAAATTTTATTTAATTTTTCAAATAACAATAAAATAGAACTCAATACAAATAGTGAAATCACTACTCAAATCCGTCATAAACTTACTTATAGGGTACTCTAACTCGATATAACCGGATCGGGTACTCACACGTACCCTATAATAGGGTACCTATTGCCATCTCTAATTTTAAGAATCAAATTAGAACTTGATATGGATAATGAAGTCACTATTTGAACTTGATTTTAAGGTACCCTAACTCAATCTAACCAGGTCGGGCACTCACTTATACCCTATAATAGGGTACCCATTGCTATCTCTAATTTTGAGAATCAAAATAGAACTTGACATGGATAACGAAGTCACTATTTAAACTTGATTTTAGGGTACCCTAACTCAATCTAACTAGGTCTGGTACTCACTTATACCCTATAATAGGCTACCCATTGCTATCTCTAATTTTGAAAATCAAAATAGAACTTGATATGGATAACGAAGTCATTATTTGAACTTGATTTTAGGGTACCCTAACTCAATCTAACCCGATACAACTAGTAAAATCACTATTTAAATCCGTCCCAAACTCAATTATAAAATATTGTAACTCGATATAACCGAATTGGGTATTCACAAATACCCTACAATTAATTACCCATTACGATCCTTAGTTTTGGGAATCAAAAGGTTACCTTGGAGCATTTGACAACCAAACAAAAGAATAAATGTTCCTTAGAAATAAAGAGGGAATCGCTTAGCCATATTGCCAGTCACACACGCCAGTAGTGGTTCAATATGGGTTTGGTTTTGTATTCCCTTGAAACCCAGTGAGAAGGGCAAAAGGGGCAAAGCAATTAGTTCTATTACACTTAGAACCTGATTTTGCGTGCTCGTTGCATCCTTTATTCATTATTTTAGCCTCATTACACTCACTTCAACTTTATTTATTATTATAAATTTTATACCTATGGCTTATTTCTTTCAACTCTCGAAGGCTGCTGTTACTCTGCTTTTGTTTGTTTTCCTGAATTCAACAAAAGGAGGCTCTGATTTGTGCTTTTGATTCAGTAATTAGTCATACGAAAGAAATGGAGACGACTCACCCACTTCCATTCGACTCTTTTCTCGACAAAATGCGAAACCCTGCTTCTCTCGATCTTGTTCGATCCATCAAGAGGTTCTTTCCTTCTCTTTTGCAATTCTATTTACATCCATTTAGATTTCTCTGCAGTTGCTCTTTGTTTCCTTTTTTTTTTTGGGTAATTTAGATGCGTTTTAGGGTTTTCTGGAAGAAATTCTTTTCAATTTTATATGAAAATATTTCACTCAATCCCCGTGATCTTTACATTTGATTCAATTCTGATTCCGAAAATCGTAATGTTATTCTGAGCTATTATTGAAGGAAAAAAATTTGTTATAAAATGATGCGATAGCTTATGTTCTCCACAAATCTATTGCAAGAAATATTCATTCCTTTATGCTGACATTCTGAAGTGGAACTCTATAGCTTAAATAAGCGATTTGGGCTCAAGCTTGTAGTTCTTATTGCGGTCATCTCTTTTTTTTTTTTTCTTTTTTCTCTTTGTTGCTTGGCAAGTTGTTATTGTAGTTTGATTTGAGCTTCTATTTCGATAGGAAATTTACATATCTTGTATAGAAAAATTCAGGTGTTCCGTGGAGTCCTCATGAACAAAAATAAAGGAGAAGGATATAGAAAGTATGTTTTCTGGTTGTGCATTTTAGGTACCCGAATTCTTATCTTAGACGATTTATTTTGTTTCAGCTTCATTGTGTCATTTTCGTTTAATGTGGGAAACCCAGAAAATGATGGGAAAAGGATACAGGACTTTTTTTTGACAACGGAAGCTGCTATAAGGGATCATCCTTTATGGGCAGGCTCCACCGATGAAGAAATTGACAATGCCTTGGAGGTTAGCATTTTATATTTGCAAATGCTTTTCTTTATAGTCATGTTGGTGTATTATCCAAATATTTCATACTTAATGCAACAAACTATGTGTTCAGATGGATTTTGTCTCTAAGTTGGAATACTTAGCCATTTAACCCATGTAGTAGTAGTGGTGGTGGTGGTGGTGGTGGTGGTAGTAGCACAACTTAGGAGGAAAAAAAGGACGCAAAAGAAGCCAAATAACATTAAGAATAGTGATAGGTCCAACTTTAGTTATGTGAAATAATACTTTGATGTTCTTGTTAAATTAGGGCCTCCAAAAAACAAATGGACTGCCCAAGTACAAAAAGTTACAGTACTTTGTATTGACCATGTGCTACTTACTGCAGGGTCTGGAGAAATATGTTATGACAAAACTAAATTCGCGGACCTTTGCATCCTCTGCTCAGGACGTCAAGATGGATCGAGAGATCTCAGAGAAGATATGCTTGTTGCAAACCTTCTTGAGGCCTGAACATTTAGACATACCAGTAGTGCTACAAAATGAAGCTTTGTGGCTGGTATGCCTGCTGACCTCGTTAAGCATTGGGAAGTTTGTTTTAGTGATTAATTCTAATGAAGCTATGCTCTTTTAATGTTTGGTTTACAGTCATGCACTGGTAAATATTTAGTCAGATATTTTGTTGCTGCAACGTTGAGTGTTTTACATAGATTTGATGAGCCTAATTTAGGAAACTTGTTTTCTGCCCAACTCTGATGTTACTTGCTTAATTAATTGTCAATAAATAAATTAACGAAATAATTTTCATTTAGAAATAGCATTAAGCATCACAGCTTCAATTAAATGATTAATAGTTCATTTACATTAAAAACTATCATGATGTATAGCATGAATGAAAAAGCCTGTAGTATTTTTCCCTAAAAAGACAAAAACCTCATATAAAGCATACCCTGTTACCATCTGAAAGAGGAAAACTGTGAAAAAGTTTTGATGCTGGATAAAAGGTTGCTGATTTCACCTTAAAAGGAAAAAGAGGAAACATAACAAAATGGTTCCTGATTTTAGTTTTAATTGGTTGACTTCAATCATTGGGCCTATTGTTGGATCTCGAAGCTAGAGGTTGTTGACTAGTTACAAAACTCTAGTCTTCATGGATGATATCAAATGTGAGATAGGGAATACAGATTATCTACTTACATTCTGCACTATCAGGTTTTTCAAAATCGGCATCATGTCACGTTACTTTTTATTGAGGTAAAGATCATCTAAGCAAAATTTCATTTTTTGGCCATCAACGGAAAACGAGATTGCTTTTGGACTTAGGTTCACTATGACTGCGTGGTTCTGTTTTCCTTTATCATTTATGTTTGTAAGTGTTGAGATATTCTGGTGATCATGTTAGTGCACAGGGAATTGCTTTCTTTACATTTTTTGTTTTATTTATACTGTGTCAAGTATCAGTTATGTGACTATACTTCCTCCTAATAAGTAGTAGTTACACTTTTTCCTTCTGTCCCCAGCTTGCTGAGAAAGAATTAAAAAAAATCAATGCTTTCAAAGCTCCTCGTGAGAAGCTTCTGTGTATCATGAATTGTTGTAGAGTCATCAACAATTTACTGCTCAATGCATCAATTTCAGAAGATCATGTTCCAGGAGGGGCAGATGATTTTCTTCCTGTTCTTATATATGTTACGATCAAGGCAAGGTCTCCTTGGTAATAAGCCATTCTACCAATCATCATTCATATTTTGTGGATTCTTATGTCTCACAGTCTCAGTCACAGTCCCATCATTGCAAAGCGTGGCTTGTGTTAGTATCATTTTTGTTTTCATCATAGAGTTTCTGAGAATTTATGCTCAATCTATATATATTCTTGACATTTAATTCTTTTTTTGAATATGCGCCGTGTTTTACTTACTGAAAATTCTTGATGTCTTAAGTTCCTCATTCTGAAGTAATTAAGTAATCTAAGTAGCATGCTATGTTGTCTGTCATATTTGTATAGTTTTCTTATCCTTCAATCCTGCCTGTTGTCATCAATTTCAAAGTACCCAAGTTATTAACAAAAACAAACCTTTGATCCTTGTTATGGGTGGTTGCTATCATATCTCAAGCAGTGGCTCTTCTCTTTTTATCTTGTATCTGTGTGCATGAGTGGGTGTGGGTGCTGGCAGGAGTATAGTCTGCTTTTTCAGGATGAATGAGTTATCATTTATAAAGGTGCAGGTCAATTGGTGGTTTTGACCATGAATTATGTGATTCTAATGGGTTATTAATTCAATTTTTTATATTTGCATTGGCGCGAGCTTTAATATTGTTCATTTCTTCTAGTGCTTCAAATGATCACTGCATTCCTTTTAAAAAGAAATCTCTCTTCAAATTTATTTAGAAAGACAAAATACTGCAGATTATTTTGTTGCTTTGAGGAAGTAATGATTAATTCTCATTAATGTTAACTAAATCTCATGGACAGGCCAATCCTCCACAATTGCATTCCAACCTCAAATTCATCCAATTATACCGGAGGCAGTCAAAGCTTATCTCAGAAGCAGCTTATTATCACACAAATCTTGTCTCAGCCAAGTCCTTCATTGTAGAGTTAAATGCCAAATCTCTTTCTATTGAAGAAACTGAATTTGAGGAGAGTATGCAAGCAGCAAGATTGGTCAATAGAGTGCCCCAAATAACCTCACCCACCATAGATAAGATATCGACATTTGGGAAGCAGACAGATCCTGGTCCATCAACAGAAATGCACAAAAGGAAAACTAACATTAATGGTAAGTTTGAACACTACTACAGCATTTAATGTATGCATGATTTACTAATTTTTTTTATTTTATTCTTTATCCATATACTTTAATATTCGCTCCATTCTGTATCTGAAAGGAAGTTAACCATAAAGAATTGTTTGATTGAAATTCTTCTCTTGTACGTCAGTACAGTGGACACCAAAGAATCTCTACATAGAAAAATGAAGATCATTTGGTGTCGGAGGGGCTGACTCGTAGCTAGGGTCCCCTCTCTCTTCGATTATGAAATGAATAGTTCTCGCTTCTAGTCCCACTTCCCCAGCATAGAAGTTAAGTTCTTATTAAGAAATATTTGTGATTCTTTTTCATATGAATTGAATCTTTCAATGTTGTCAAACAGATCATCACATAGCCATTCTTGGATCAGCTGGGTCAAATTATCCTTACATGGAAGCTGAGGCTGGTGAACTGACAGTAGGTGATGTGGAGAGATTACTAGGTTTATACAAGGATGTGGTAACTAAGTATAACAGTTTGTGCAACACTGTTAGACACCTTTCTATTTCCAAGACCACAGTTTCCCCTGCTTCAGAAGGAACTAATGACTTGTTAAGAGGGCATAATGGAACAAGTCGAGACACTGATTGCAAAGGAGAATAAAGGTAAAATAGTCTGTCACATCTTTTCAAATGAACCACTTTGTTTAAGTAAAGGTTAAATTTCTTCGAATTAATATTCTATACAAATTCCTTGGATAAATATGTTGACTAAGCAGCATATGCTCCAAATAGGTGAGGGAGAAAAAGCCCTGTACCAATAATTGCCCTTTAAGCTAAGCAGAAACTATTTACATGTTTACACACAAATATACATTCACCCTACCGTCAAGGCAGTAGTAAATCCAGGACCATTACTTCCTATTGCTCCCCTACAAGTGTCAAGTTGAGAAAACCTTCTAGCTTCCATTCCAGAACTTGGAATGCTTATAGATTTCTTGTGAAGGGAGTTAGCACATCTCATGCATATGAACTTTGCAGGTATTGCATCAGCATCGTCAATCCCAGCACACCTTGTGTGCTGCCAAACACCACATATATCACAAGCCAACATTCTCTCACCGTCATCATCCTTTGCCCCACAAGTGCAGTCAACTGTCCAGTTATCTGTTCCCCTCTCCATTCGATATCGGTTAAGTCCATGTTTTGATGGACATCTTCCTTTGACTCGAATTGATCCAGTTGTGCCAACCAATAGTTTCAGGGTTATGTTGTCCTCTACAGAACCGTAATCTAGTAGATGCTCAACTTGAAACCTCTTAAACATGGCATATACATCTTCAAAAGCTTTTGAAGCTTCAATTTTAAGGTCACCAATGGTAGCATTAAGAGGTAAAACAATCAGTTCAGGGGGAGGAACTGGATCGTCTTTAGGTTGATCAGAAAGCTCTAAATGACACCAAACATAGATGGCAAAGGGGTTGTAAGCATATGGTTTGTAGTCTTTCACAAATTGCTTGCAGTCAAGAAGCTTAGTAGCCGAGTCAATCACACATTCCCTTGTTGCTTGAGGTCTGTAAGTCAACATGGTTTCAGGGTGGAGCAAAGAGTCAAACAAAAATTTCAGATCACCTCTGATGTGCTCTTCTGATGGGCAATTTGAGTCCAAGCTAGATTCATTTGGCACGGAACATAGCGGCTGAAGCCTGTTTGGTCATTATTTTGTAACAAGGCATTTGTTAGTTACAAAGATCCAGTAAACAAGAGATAAGTGAACCAGAATTGAATTTGCCTCACCTGAACTCGATATCACTGGAGTTTAGATTGCAACGGGCCTCAACCACCTTGCCATTGGTTGCCAAATTCCCTCTCAAGTGCTTAAGGCAGTAATCAAGAAGTTCAGGGGAGGCTGCCTTACTCATGGCGCTCTTAAGAGCACGCCTGGTTACCCAGTTGGAACCTGGGGCTGTAGCCATTAGCACTTTAATCATAGCTTGCAACAGTGATTCTACATCATTTCTTGTCCATGCACACAATACATTTGTGGAAGATTCTGATATTTTGGATGTTTTGGGCATTGAGGTCCTGTGGCTTTCAGTGATGAGTCTCAGGAGGAATGAAAACAGATCCTTGAGTGTTGAAAGTTCTGAACATGATAAGGACTGATAAAAAGCAATGATGTTCTGCAGGCGAGTTCGGGTCTTACGCCGTTGGAACAGAAGGGGGGACAAAGGCATGCTTGAGAGATTATCCACTGCTCTCTTGTAAGCATCTTGTGTGAGGGCGTAGCTTCCAGATCCAAACTCGTAACCCCAGTTACCATACCAGGAATGACCTCTGGTAATTGCATGAAGTAGCCTGTATTCCATACCATATTTCTTCGATACATCCATCACGGTTACCTTCCTGTTCAACAAAATTACCAAGAAAGTAGGATTGATGAAACAATCTACGGTTGTTCTCAAGAGTCCTTAATCCTATATTGAAGAAAAAGAGAAAATTCACACTTAAGCATTTGTAATGAGTAGAATAATAATAATACAGCAACAATTGTTTGTGTTAACAGGTCAAGAAAAGAAATATACGGATAGACCGATTGGCTGTCAAGGCCTGTACAATGGGCTTAAGAGGATGCGAAAAGGCCATGTAAAGTATAGGCGTGGGTTTTTCTTTACCATTTTGCCATAAGTAAATTAGTATAAGGAAGTATAATTTTTTATATTTGGTATACTGATGAAGGAAGGAAAGATGGAATGTGATAAGGTGGGTGTCCAAACCTGACAGAGAGAAGTGTGCAGAGGGAATCCCAGAAGTTCATGATGTGAAAACCTGAGAGAAGGTTGGAGCCTCCTTCTCTACCATTGACAGTAAGAAGATGGCCATAACCGTTGGAGTGAACAACTCCATGCAGCAAATGCGTATTATCTTCAAACTGTGAATACTCCCATTCTTCATCATTATCATCATCATCCCCACTAACCACTCTGTTGCACAGATGAGATGAGATAGCACTAGTTACAAATAAAGCTAAATCCGAAAATACTTAGACAAGAAACATCCAAAATTTTGACCTTGACAGACAAGACTTGTTCTCGTACGAATTGATCCCATTATCACGAGACCTTATGATAAAATGGTATCTTTTGCGGCAAACAGGATGGCCGCTCCAACCTATCATTTCAAAACCCAACACAATTTAGTTACTCTCTAATAAAATAAAATCATTTTTTTCTTTTATTCTACTTAGTACTATTATTAGTACTCGAGCAAAGTAAGAGCTAGTTTTAGTTAATGCGTATGCAGAAAAAGAATGCGTGCGAGCATGCCCGACGAGAGTGGACTCCACCCCACTTACCAACGACTCGGCACTGGTCGCAATAGACAGATCTTGAGGATCTGGTGACGTCCTCCTCCACGACATAGAGCGCAACGACGATCGGCGAGGGATCGTGGGCGTCCGTCAAAGAATCACCCACTCTAAACAGGATCTGCCACGTCATGAGGCAGGGAAGGACCGGCGGTGCGAAGGCCGTGGTTAGGCGGGCGTGAGAGGATAGGAAGCTCCGGACGGCTTCACGGAAAGGCTTTCCGGAAGAGGCGGCGGTGGTGGAGGGGGAAGGGAAAGAGAGGAAATCGGACAGGTCTGCAGAGACTCTGGTAGTCCTGCGAGCCCTCTTGAGTGGCCTGGGTGCGCTGTGGTGGTCAACCATTTCGTTAACGTAGAGGAGGGTGTGTTTGTTTGATGTTTGGTCCAAGGTAGAGGGAGTGTGAGTGTGTCCTGGAAATGGGAGGAGTTGGAGGGGAGAGGAAGACCAACTTTGCGTTTTGTCTTTCACAAACCAGGACTAGGGTTTTGGCTGCTGGGTCTGTTTTTTATTAGAGGTTGCCCGCGCTACGGTTGCCAACACACCGAAACTCATCATTTTCCCCCCTTTTCCAAATTTCTTTTTCTTTTCATTTTTCTTAAAGGTAACTTTTCGAATAAATAAAAAAATAATTCTTTATTTAAATTATATTATATAATTATTTTTCTAATTTTTAAAAGTTTTTATTTTTATTTTCACTTTTATATAAGAATAATTTCTTTGAGCTCTCCAAACATCTTGGTAGGACTCTTTTAATTATTCGTCACCTTAGGATATATTTTAAAAAAATTGTGTCACTATAAATTATAATTTTAAAAGAATCATTTTTATTTAGCAAACAACAAATATCATTGACTTGAGAATAGAAAACAGCTGCTTTCAAAACTGGATATGGGCCTTTGGTTTGGATCAATCTCCATGAATCCTCTGCTTATGAAAGATCCACGTTTTGCCTTCACTGGGTATTCGGCTTCAAACAGTTATCAAAGTTGGAATAAATTATTCTTATGTTAAACTCAAGACAAAACATGTTAGGAATTTAGAACATGAAAATATACTTGATTTTTGAGGTATTTTTAAAAATAACTCTTAAAGATAAGAAGTTTTTAAAAATAGACTCTTTTATAATTTTAACTATTTTTAATCAAGTTGGATAAAATTAACTTTAATGAAATTACACGTCATGATGTTATATACCATGTACAGAAATATGTTACACGTCATCTACAAAAATATGTGACATACCATAGTTAGGTTTTACACGTCATGATTAAGTTGTTACACGTCATGTTAAAAAAAATACTATTGTTACATACTATGTACAAAAACATGTTACAAGTCATGGTTAAAAAATGTTGTAACACGCAATGTTGAAAAAAAATACTGTTATTACACGCCATGCTGAAAAAATATTGTTGTTACATGCCATATTCAAAAATATTTTGTTACATTTTAATGTTTAAACTGTTATTGTTACTTACAAATTAAAACTTCAAATCCTCTCAACTCTTTTTATTTATTTTTGTTTCTTTGACAATTTGGTACCCACTAGAGTGTTTCTAACATGTTTTTATAAATCAAAACACAAATTTTCTTATCTAAAACATCCATTTTGACCAAAAATAAAAAAAATTCATTGAAAACCTAAGTTCATAAATTTTAAATTTTTGAGTTTGTTGGTGTCTAGATCTCGAATTGATCCAATTCAAAGCTATTTCAAATATCTGTGATCATTTTTACTGTTTAATTTTATCCAAAATATCTAAAAATCAAATTCTTCAAATAGCCATACACTCAAGCACATCAAAACCATGTTTAGTGTTTTCAAAGTGCTGGAAAGAGAAATCTGAAAGCGCGAGAGAGAAAAATTGGGAGCATAGGAGACAAATGCCGAAGAGAGAAATCGATAAAATTAGAGAGAGTGAGATGTTGAGAGAGAGAAATCGGAAGTACAAATGGAGATAAATTGTGATGAATAGTTTAATTTATTTGAAATAGTTTCAATGGTATTTTTATCAAGTCATAGCTAAATATGACTAAAAACAGTTAAATTTATTTTGATGGTTATTTTTGAAATACCCTTATCAAGAAAGGTTATTCCTCACCATTTCCTCCTTGATTTTTTATACATAATTTGACATTAAAAACAATATAGATAAGTTTATTTGTTGGGATTCAATATACTAAAATCTTCCTTCTTGATCTGTTAACTCTCCAATGGGTTAAAATATGTTTTTGCGTAAATAAAAAAGGAGATCTAATCTTAACTTTGTATAATGATCCTTAGTCTTACTTGTTGGTCCTGTTAGAGTGTTAGAGGGGTGAATAGCACTAAAATTTTAAAATCTGCACTTTTGAGCTTGTAGAGCTCTTAATCAGCTAGAGGAAGGATGGTTTAGAACTTGTCAAAATTAAAAGATATCAAGTCAAGAAAGGTAAAGAAAAGTGGACAATACAAAAGTATTTATAGTGGTTCAATCCCTTTAACCTACATCCACTACTTCGATCTCTCAATTAAGGATTTTCAACCCAAGTTTACTATAACAATTGAATTGACAACTTCCACCAATTTTTTACAAGGTGAGCTTTTAACCTAAACTATAATCCCTTACAATGATTTCTAGAGTATTTCCCATACTCTAAATTTCCAAGAAAAAGAAGGAAAAAAATATAACTAGGTACCTTTAGAAATATAGAAAGATTAAAAGCAAACTCAAACACTTTTTCTCAAATAGGAGTAAAGAACAAGTGTTTTGGTGAAAGTCGTTTGGCTTTTTACTCAAAGTGGCTCTTTTTTCTTCAAAATCTGCTTCTTTGACCATTGAAGCTTACTTTTATACTTGAGAGGACAGATTTTGCTGTTCAAGATAGATTCTAGTTGTTAGGGACAACTCTGATGTCATTCTAGTCATTGTTTTGTCTTTTAGTATTTAAATTCAAATTGATAGATAAAGTTCGACTAATTGGTCATAGGCAGCTTTAATTGATTATAGTTTCTCTACCTTGCATTATCTTGCTACTGTGTGCTATATGTTAACTGATTAGAAGAGACTCTAACCGATTAAGAGATCTTTATCTTCAAGGTTCTCTACTTTAGCATACTTCTTCTAATTGGTTAACTCTCCCCTTAACTAATTAGAACTGCACATCCTTTAATCTTAACCGATTAACACAAATTCTAATGAATTAAAAAAAAATTTGAATTTGAATTTCTCCATTTTGGCTCCTTTTAACGATTAGACTTATTTTGAATTTAAGTTTTGACACTTAGAGATTTTTTAGGTCTTGGGCTCTAATCGATTAACCACATGCTTAATCGATTAGCACACTTCTGTTTTTCTTTTTCTAGCACATTCTTAATCAATTAACTCTAAAGCTAATTCATTAAAATTTGTTTGTTTTGCTTCAGCTTGTCAACTAGTCATGCCGTAACTAACTAAGACTCTTTGTTAATCAATTACTAAACTCCTGTCTTCACTAACCCTTTTCTTCTTTCTCACTCTAACTTATGTGATCTTACCTTTAACTCTAATTTTATTGAGAGGATTAACTTTATTCTACACACTAAAATAATAAAGTTAGACATTAATGAATGAGAAATTTTTTGTTATCATCATAAACATATGGAGTCAACTCTACTTATTATAGGTTTAAAGATTTTCTACACATAATACATTCTTAAACCCACATTTAATATTTGAGTCTATTCCACTTTATTGGACATTATTGACTATAATTTGTCACTTGATCAAATAAACTTAACTTATTTTTTATAAAAAGGTAAAATAACTTAAATAATGTAAGTTCATACTTTATTATCTAAGAAAATCTACAATCTCCCACTTGGATTATATTATTTAAACTCAAAATTTGAAAATATATTTTCTTAAAAATATTGGCTCACGGGCTAAGACAACTTGAAACTTAATGAGCTCAATTTATAAACAACTTGAGACTTACCTTAAAAGATCTTTCTATCCAATAAAATTTGTGATATAGGAAAATAACAATAACTACATGTCTATCAAGATACACCACCAACTATAATCACATGTACTACCCAAGGACATGAAGTTAATGTGATGGTGTATCAATAAATAACAATATTTCTTTAATGATCTATTTCATGTGTTGTATTCATTTGTTAGTCATTTTATTCTCTACATTATGTAGCCCAAGCTTTCAAGAGAAATATTTTATGATTTATTCAATAAACATATGTCTACTTTACATATCTTGAGATATACATCATGTTACAAAAACATAACAGTAGGGTTATAGATGTATGCCTCACTTTATGTCTTATGTCTTCAAATAAATGTATAGAAACATAAATAATTTAGGAACGAAGATGAATTGTAAAAACTCCACAATACCTATGTCAAAATATGTTTCTTAAAAGTGATAAAGCATAGTCCTTTGGTTTGAGGATCAACTACTATGTCATCAGTGTTAATATGCTTTTCTAAAATGTAACCTGTTTTTATAAGCTGTTCAATTGTCAAATATTTTATCTCTAAATGCATAGTCTTCAATTGTCAAATATTTTATCTCTAAATGCATAGTCTTTGTAATACCTCTGTTGTTGTCAATGAACAAAAATGCTACAACATTATTTTGATACAAAGGTTTAACAATAAAGCCAGTCACCAATAAATATTGCATAGATTTCTCCACTAGATAGCCTCTATAACTATTCCATAGCATACTATAAATTTTAGGGGAATTTTTTTTTGCCCTAAAAAATAAAGTGTTTTTGAAAATAAGCACCGAGATAATTTTAACTATTTTTAACCACCATAGTAGATTTTGAGACAAAAATACCCTTAATGAGACATATTTATTGAGACGTACCATCAAACACGTGAAAAATGAAAAAATAAATAGATAAATATGCAAATAATTTGCGAACTTCTAATTTTGTGCAAAACATCCATTTTTTTTAGCTAAGCTTGTGTAAAGCAAAATAATGTTGTATGAGAAGGTTTTTCAGATATTTCGAACATGACATTCAGATAATACGAGAAGATGGATATTAAACCGATTGAGGAATCGGTCCTGATGAATCGAAAGCTTCGAGAATGATGTGCAAT